GGTTTTATAAATTTGGGAATATTGTATATACATAGGTTTTATAATTTGAGAATATTTTGTCACAAAATATAATAAAATATTCTTTATAAAAAACTTCGTAAATCTCTATTATAAAAACATTTATGTCCTTAAAGTTTATTGTAACAAAACAATTATTACCAAATTTTAATTTGAAAAATGAAAACATCAAATAATGTAAATTTACTTAAGGAAATATTTTGTAAAATATTTTGTTATGATTAATTTAAATTTAAAATATAAAATTCCTATAGAAAATTGCCATGTCATCTTCTTATTTAGCCATATCATATTTTTTTTTGGAAAGTGATTGTGGAGATGAGACATAACCAAACTCTTAGAAATTAATTTCTAAATAATATATAAGGGAAATCTTTATTCACTAATACATTATTTTTTTCGGAAATTTTTTTGAAAAATATCCGAACTTAATTTAATTTGCTGGAAAAATAAATGAACTATTTTTGCTACCTGAATAATACATGAAGTATTTACTATTGTCTTTTATATACTTAGACTTTCAAAATTTGTAGGTTTTCCACCCTCGATTCTAACGGCGTTAACCCGTTAACAGAAGATGATAAACATCTTAATTTTTTTTACGGAAAAAATCTTGAAAAAGACCCGAACTTAGTTTAAGTTGCTTAAACAGTACACAAATTTTTTGGCTACCCGAATAAAACACCAACTATTTAAATTTATCTTTTATATACACCAACTTTATAAATTCAGGTGTAAATTACTACAATAATAATTGGATAATATTGCATGGTTTGTGTATGAGCAAATAATATTATGCATTGAGTTTTTTGCTTTTCATAGAATTTTTATAATTGGAGGTGTTCCGCAGTTTCTTCCAAAATCATTGCGACTAACCTTTTCCGAAGGAGTTCAAATTTTGTAGGTATGTATTTTGTGCATTAGTCTTGATGACTTATTTGAATGGGTTTATCAATAATCATTGTACATCTTGAAGTGTTGACAGGAAGCCCGTGTGGATGCTCTCGGAGATATGAATATAGAATCTAAGTGAAACTTTGGCTAGCTCGTACTGGAAAAGTAATCTACCACTTTGACCTAGTGCATTTTGATATCATATTCATCCTCTCAACATTTCAGTTCTGTAAGTTAAACTAACATTACTGTATTCTCGATTTTGAGGACAAAAAAAGTTGGAGTATATAAAAGACAAATTTAAATAGTCGGTGTATTATTGAGGTACCCAAAAAGTTTGTGTATTGTTTAAGCAAATCAAACTAAGTTCGTGTATATTTTTGGAATTTTTCTGTTACAAAATTGACACAATTTATCATCTTCTGTTAACGGATTAACGTCGTTAGAATCGAGGATGTAAAACATATAAAATTTGAAAGTGTAAGTATATAAAAGGCAACCGTAAATACTTCATGTATTATCCGGATAACCAAAATAATTCGGGTGTTTTTTAAACAAACTAAATTAAGTTCGGAGATTTTTTTGGAATTTTCCCATTTATTTTCTCATTTTATCAGCTATTCATTCTTTTTCTGTTTTCTACAATAATTGTCAAAATGCATCAACGTACAATAAATGCATCAAGTTGATATGAATACATATATAATAAATATATAAAAACGTACATCAATGCTTGATCACAATGAGAATTGAGGATGTGTCTATAGTCAAGTATAGTGGTTATATGGCTACCTCTACAAATTTTCTGCACAGAAATTCGACTCCATGTGTCTGCAATAACTGTCTGTCAAAATGCATCAACGTACAGTAAATGCATCAAGTTGATATGAATACATATAAATATATAAAAACGTACATCAATGCTTGATCACAATGAGGATTGAGGATGTGTGGTACCTCTACGAATTTTCTGCACAGAAATTCGACTCCATGTGTCTGCAATATAAAATTATTATGGTTGTTGGGTCGGGATTTATTGGTTGAAAATATGTTTACAAAAATAATTA